TTTTCGGGGGGGGGGGGGGGGGGGGTCGTCCGTGTTTCCCCACCACCCCCCCCCCCCCCCCCCTCAGAATAAAAAGGCATGGCCTTCGATTACGTTCCAGTGAATCGGCATTTTTTTGGTGGCGTTCTATTGTGCGTGGCCTTCTATTCAGGATTTTTCGAAGAATTCCTTTATAAATATGCTCATTTTTTGGCATTATTATTTATTCGTTTTATTTGTTTCAAGTACTAGTATGTGCTTGATTCATTGATTTTATTATTTTCTATCATAGATGAATGAAAAAATGAAAAGACAAAAACAACAGAAAAATAAATGTGAAGAGAAAATAAATCTGTGTTTGATATATCTATTTTTTCCACATGTCTGAAAGTTTTAATTGTTTATTGTTTTGTTTATTTAATTTTGCTAAATGTTGTTGCTGAACTTTTTTAGCTTCAGCTTCAATTATATTATCTTCATCTAATTGTGGATTTGTTGATAAATAATCTACTATTGCTGGATCAAATGAATATTCAGGAAGACCCCGTGGTTGAACAAGTGAATTATCAGTCCATATATAACCTAAATCTGTAAATGCTCGCTTAGTATCAATACTGGTTAAAGTTCGTTTCCAAGCAGAAGAAGTCAACCTTGTACACAAAATACGTGATTGTGATGCTGATAATTTAATTTTTAATCTTGGTCCATATTTTTCAATAAATTCTTCACTACATTCATAATAATGGTGTTTGAAAACCGAAAAGACAAATACATCTAATGCTTGTATATACATAGTACATCCTTTGGGTATAATAGCTACAACAACATTATCTTTACGTAATAAACGAAGTGTTTCATCATTTAAATGTGTTGATGAACTATCTGTAATAAATAATTTTGGTTTATTATCTTTAATTTTTGAGATCCAATAGTTAATATATTTATCCATTGTTTCTCTATTATTGACAGCTTTTGGACTAAAAAAAACTTTGACATCTGTAGCATATTGTTTTTTTTCGTTTTCGGATATTTTAGCTAAAATATTGAAATTTTGAATTCTTTTTTATCAATAGAAGAAGTATAATAATTAAATAGTTTACCTTTTCCTTTAAACAATAATACAGGACCAATTCTAGAATTATCTTCACCAAAAACAGTTAAAATAACAGTACAGAATCGTTTGTTGCTAATATGTCCTTCAATTTCATTACACGTGTTAATAGCATTAACACTTAATTTACTTTGATCACCAAAAAGACTTAATGGACTCTCATCCATATTGCAAACATCCTTAGGTGTGAAAGCACCCATTGGACCTCTCTTCAGTCCCCATCGACTTGATCTTCGTAAATAAGAATGAAATTCTTGTACCAATTTATGTACTTCATTAAGTGGTATTTTTTATGTCGTTTTGGCTTTGGTAATGATAAACCATGACGCCGAAGGAAACGACCATACCATTTAGAAGATGGTGGCTTATGATTTAATTCTATACTAATTTGTTTTCCTCTTCTTTGTAATTGTTTAAATGAAACCTTTTCTTTTCTAATTATTATTGTTTCATCTGGTTGTTTAATAATACCTCGATGTTCTCTAAACCATTGTAACAATTTTTGATCAAGATCGGGATAGTGTAGTTTAACACCTCCTCCTTGTAAATGTTTTCATTTCTTACCTATAGTGAGAATAGCAAAGTAATAGAATAATAGAAAAACCGAAAACGATGAAACAACTTACCATAATTTTGTTTTGAAAGTAATAATAATTCTTCTTTTTGTTTTTGCCATTGTGATAAAATAAATCTTGTACAATGATTCTGTTGTGCAGTTAAACTTTTATTATTTCCATTTTTTTCTAATTGATTTAATATTTTAAGTTTTTCAGCAACGGACCATTGTCGTCATTTACGTTTAACACCGCCAGAACCAGTTTTAATTTCTATTTCATCATCAGATGTATTTGATGAAGATTGTTTGTCATCAATTGTTGTTATAGTAGCTGATGATGTTGAAGTTGTATTATCATTCAGTTCATCATCTTTTTCATCATAATCAGGTTTTATATTTAGATAAGTATTGAAATTAATTATATGATTTTCACGATCATCGATTTCCGATGTAACTTCAATTTCTGAATCATCTGAACTATCAGTTTCTTGTTCATTGTTGTTACTGAACCCTTGAAGCGTTTGTAAATGTAAATTACTATGAAATAAACTTATTTCTTGGTTACAGTTTTGCATTATATACAATAATAATCACATATGCATCTAGACTATATATAGGCACAAACAGACTGAAAAATTCAGACGAATTAAAAGTGAATTTACGAATAAATCGTCTAACAAAGATAATTTCAGTCAGAACAGACCATTTACGTTACTTAATTCATTTTATTTTTTTCCGTCTGTTTCGGACATATAAAATAATACGCTCTATATGTACAAAATTGATTGCCATGACGTTCTATTATGTCTAGCGAATCAAACTTTTGAAAGTGGCGCTTTATTACGGGTGACCTTCTATTATAGGGTGGCGTTTTATTTTTTTTTTTTGGGGGGGGGGGGGGGGAGATAAGGGAATTTATATTCATCCCTTCTACCTGGGTTTTTATTGGGGGGGAACTTTTCCGATATGTTGGAAGAATGGGGTTTAGTGTGGG